CCTTGGATTAGAATGACAGCATTTTCAAGTGACTTGAATTGTCACTTCAAAAGTGAGGAAACTTGTAATCATTCATAAGTTGCATTGACCATTCCGAAACAATCTTTTTTCAAATATTTTACCCTTTTGATATGTGTCTGCAATTTCATAAAAAATGCAAATGTTGAAATAAATGACTGTAGCTTACACAGATGCATCCATAACAGTGTTTGTCAAACTTGGCAAGTTTAAACTTTTCAGCACCTAAAATTCCCCAGCCAGCCATGTTCAGAATCATACATCTTAATGTTGCCAAGTTTTAGAAACACTGGTCTATAGGATTCAGTACTTCCTTAGAGGAATGAGCAATTTCCCAAGAAATAAATGAAATCATTTTTTTAAAAAATATAAAAAATAAACTGTTTATATTTAAGGTTAAGTATATATTTTTAAGGTTAAGTATTCTATAAAAATACAAACATTCATTGTTGAAACAGAGTTTGATTAAAATTATGATTAAAAATCCCTGCAGAATTCAACAAATGGAAAAAATTCTTAATAAAAAACCTGGACAAGATTCAAATTATTATTTTAGGTCAAAAAAAGTCTAAAGAATTATTTCCACGTGCATATGCTGAAGTTTGTTGTCAGAAATGCACACCATTCCTGAATTTGTATACAGATATTAAAAAAGAAAAAAGAAAGAAAACAGAAGATTTACATAAGCACACAAGAAACCAATCAACACTCTAGAACAAAATTCAGTCCGTCATCCTTATTCCAACAGAAATAATTGGATTCTTTAAGCAGAAGTCAATGTTTTCCTTACTGGATTTTTCCAATTTCTACAAGAATTCCAAAAGAGAGATTGAAAAGGTGTTCAGGGAGTCCAATTTCCTTTCTTGCCTCTTCCCTACAGTCCAATTTTCTTTGTTCAAACTCCAAACAAACTATTTAATTTTAGCAGATGGACAGGCTGAGTATGACTTGTTTACATATATCTTGCATATTCAAAAAGAATCATGCCTCACTTGTGAATGGATGGATAGATTTCTTGCCTTCAAGTCAGTGTGTGGGTGACTACTTAGGCTAGCCCTTGAAGTTTTCATGTCAACATTTCCAGAAGTCATTTGCCATTGCCTTCTTCGTAGAGAAGAGGGAGAGGGAGAGGGAGGGAGAGAGAGAGAGAGAGAGAGGGAGAGGGAGAGGGAGAGGGAGAGGGAGAGGGAGAGAGGGAGAGAGGGGGAGAGAGAGAGAGAGAGAGAGAGAGAGAGAGAGACTAACTGACTAGCTAAAGTTACCCACCTGGCTTTGTGCCTCTGGCAAGACTCCCAGCACTTGTGGATTTATCTGAGAATATCTGCAGTCTGTGAATGTCTGCGCCTGTCTGGCATGCACAACAATTACTCATAATTATGTCAAATATATTTTTCTATGATCCCCAAATAAATAAACCAAATTTGTTCAAAAGCTAGAACATGTGTACAAGGCAGTTCAATTTCATGTTCCAATGGATGGGTTTAAACTACTGAACCAGGTGAAAGTTTCTATATATGCCTTGGAGTTTTAAAGTTCTTGCCTTTTCTTAGTAGCTAGGGTATACGTCTACTTATGGTCATTAAATCCTGTCTATAGATCAGGGGAACCCAATGAGAAAGTGGGGAGTGGGAAGCATCAAAATAGTCCTACATGTAAAAAGAGGCAACATCTATTTGATTGTGGTCAACATCTTGCCTTTTTTAAAAACAGATTCACACATATGAGAGGTCCTTGATGCTCTCTAAGCTGTGTTGTTTTCTTGTAGATGTTTCATTACTCATTCAGAGCAACATCACCAGTGCTAAGATAGCATTCATGATGTTATACAGCATTTCAACCTTGAGATCTCTGAGTGCTGTTGAGGCCACTTGGGGGTTTATCTGTACCCTCAGGGTTACCTGAATCAGAGTGCAAATGGGTGTGGGACTGCTGAAAGGATTGTATTGTAGACAGGTGGTGTTGTATCCCTCTTTCTCTGTTGAGAGAGAGCTATTCAATTTTTACATAGATGGACTCTTTGACTCCTCTTTCCAACCATTGGTCCTCTTTGTCCAGAATGTGTATTTTTCTATGTTCAAAAGAGTGACTTTGATCTTTCAGATGCAGATGGATCCTGAATCTTGTTCTGATGGGTTTGTTCTCCCATGTCATACCATGAGTTTGTGAAGGAGTTGTTTAGTTTCCACAATGTACAAATCTATACATGTCTCACTTCATTGCATTGCATATTCCACCTTGCTTAGTTTATGTCTGGGTATTTTTCCTTGGGGTGGACAAACTTCTGACTTAAGGTATTCTAGGGTTTAAAGTGTGCACATATGTTGCATTGGTTGAAAATCCTTCTGTGCATTTCAGCTTTTCAGATATTTCTGCAATGTATGGAATGACAATGTTGCTTCATTTGTTGTTCTATTCTTTGTCTCTTATGAAGGGGCTACTGCTGAATCTTTTCCTGGATTTGATGAAGGCCCAGTTGGGACAGCCATAACTTCTGGGGGCTTCCTTGATATGTTTTAGTTCTTTTTCTTTTACTGCTTTGCTGGTGGGCAACCCTAGCTGAAGCAACCCTTCAGCTAGTGGTGTCACTCCCATTTTGTGCTACAGTATAGTAGGTACTGAGAATCTGTGTGAGAGTTTTCTGAATGTTTTGATGTTGAGGCTTCTGGCTTCCTTAATGTGTACAGTTCAGGAAAGTCAGACTATTTCCTTTAACATCTCTCCATGTGAACTTAAGATACCTGTCCAAGTATTGATGTATTTGGTGAAAACTTCCATTCCTGTGTTTTAATCTTGACCCTAGTATCATCCACATATCTATACCAGTCAGTAGATGGAATTCCTGTGAAGGAGTTCAGGGCTTTGGTTTCTGTAGCAAGAAGGTCCACACACATTTGCACTCTGACTCAAATGACCCTGAAGGTACTGGTAAACCCCCAAATTTATCAACAACACTCAAGAGCTAACAACCGGCCTTCAGAGTGGTAATGACCAGATGACTGCAAAGAATATAAATCCTTCCATTCCCCATTATTCATCCAGAACTGAAGAAACATCTTGGATGTGAAGCGAAATGTTTTCAAGGAAAAAAACCCAAGAAAGTCCAATTGCCTTTTGAACAGCACCTTTGGGACAACCATGACCTGGATGAATGAGAATCTTCATAGACAACCCCTTTGATCAGCAACATTCACACATATACATATGCTGATATTCATAGAGTGATTCCACTTCATCATAGAAAATAGAAAGCAGTTGTGAATTAAGAGCACAAAACTGATGGTTTTGACAGTTGTTGTTTTAACATTTCATTTAATTTGGGACATCTTCTTTTGCTTCTCATTGTTGGCTTTGAATGTTTGGCACTACATGTTTAATTTCTGCAACTAATCTTGCATGCATACCAGTCAGATTAACCATCTTGCACACACTAATTGAAACACAGTTTGAGGTTTTCAAATTAACATTTGAAAAAAACAATCCATTGAAAATACTTCAGTGTGGGTTGGATAGCTTATTCAGGCCCAGATAATTCATGTATTCTTTATTCTTTCATCATCTCAATCAATATACTGAGGGTTGGTGAACAAAGATCTCTGTCAACCCTTTCAGTCATATCATACAACTGAAGAATATAGAGCTTTGTTTTTTTTAAAATAAAGCTATTGATTAATGTCATCAGTCATTACAGTTAATAACTACTGTATGTGCTTTAAAACAATACAATTACAAAAAGGGATTTGCTATCAGTTTTCTGATAACTTATCATCACAAACAGACATACTTGTACCTAGTAAAGAAGGCATAATTAAATCTTCTATGGTGCATTGTCAGTGAAAATCATTATGATAAACAACATTTCAAAGGGAGATTCATTTCCGCTTCCTGTAATTGAAAACAATTTCTCCTGATATTTCAGTTTACTCTTCTTGAAAAACAATATTGGCACCAACTGATTTTGAAGTTGGTTAAATTTAATATCTACTTTATTAATATTAATATTTAATTTAATAAATATTTAATATTTACTTTAGATATTAAAGTTAATATCTAAAGTTAATATCTACCAGGTAATACAAGAACACAAAAACAGTTTTTTCCCAAACGCCATCACTCTGCTAAACAAATAATTCCCTCAACATTGTCCAACTATTTACAAAGTCTGCACTGCTATTACTATTAACCTTCTCATCACTCCTTATCACCCATCCCCTCCTTATCACCCATCCCCTCCCACCTGTGACTGTGTGACTGTAACTTTGTATCCTTACGATCAATATTGACTGTTTCCTAGTATGATTTGATTGCTTATTGTACCCTATCACTCTTATTAAGTGTTGTACCTGATGATTCTTGACTCTTGACGAATGTATCTTTTCTTTTATGTATACTGAGAGCATTTGCACCAAGACAAATTCCTTGTGTGTCCAATCACACTTGGCCAAGAAAGAATTCTATTCTATTCTATGTAATATCTAGCAATTAGCACTACTTGGATTATAGACTGTATGGCTTTTTCAAGACCATTGGAATATGTGGAGTGATCACTGCATTGCTAACATGGAGAAGATGGAATGGTGAAGCTGCCAAGAGTTGGTGAAGGGAAAACTAGCTCATCTAACCTTTTGGCTGTAGAGTTAATATAGAAATTGAATAGACTGAGTGTCATGGTGTACTGAGTGTCATGCTATATCATCTTTCTAGATACATAAGTGTTTTGAAAGCACTCCTGAATGGCTCATTCTTAAGGAGAGGTTAACAAAGAGTCTCTGAAGGAGCAAAAGAAGAGGCCTAGGAATGGAAGGATTCCTAACATTGTATTGTTTCCAAATATCTTATAAATTTGGATGAAACCATTAGGTGTTCTTTGCTTCCTTCCAATTATCCTTCTAGCTTTCTTGGCAACAGTACAGAAATAGTTTGACACTCCCCCCCGCCCTTTGCTGATGTATTGGACTCTAGCAGCAAGGATTCTGGGAATCGTAGGCTCTAGTAGTTTCCCTGTGATTAATGGCTCCTCGCTATTAAGGTGTCTTTTCACAAAAAAAGTAGCTTACATATTTGCCCTGCATTCTTGTAACATCCTAAGCTGAAAATTACAGTGATACAGAATTAAGATGGTGCTCCTGAATTGGAAGGCACTGGAAAATTTTCCACTTCTAATGTACATTTTAGCTGCTAAAACATTAATTCTTTGCTTAGCATTTGCTGGGGTAAAAGTATATCAAAGGAAAAGACTTGAAGAAAAGCTGAAAAAGGAACAAGCAGAAAAGCAGAAAAGAGAAATTGAGAAAAAAGAAAACTGAAGATCTAAAGATTTTCTGACATGTTGCAGCCGACTTGGATGCCTTTCTGGGAAGCATTGAAGATTTCACTGATTTCACTATGCTGGAGAAATGAATTCCCTAAGATCAAGATTGATTTGAATAATGTATTTTAATTTTGTTGTTTTGTTACAGATAGTAGCAGGATATTGTCAGTTATTTATTCAGTAAACCTTCCTTTGCAAAACTGGTAAAAAAAAAAAAGAAATAGTTTGACACTGACTTTTACCAGGATATATTTTCAACTTCCCATTGTAGCCTGCAGCTCTCTGATTCCCTGGTCCACATATTACCAGGTCTAACCCTTCTAGATGCTGCCACTAAAAATAAATAAATAATTTTTTATTTGCAATAGTATTTCAATTCACCTTTCCCTTAAAAAGAACTTTTCTCACTGTGAAAAAAAATGAATCACAATCACACCGTATATGTATAAATATATGGCCGCTGTAATGATAGGATTGTGAATCATGTTCTTGACAGTATGGCTACCATAACATGATGCAGATTGCAGAGGATGAAGTTCATGAAGTTTTGAGACTTGACCTGACATGCTTGTGATTTGACCAGAACATTTTTCTCTTGTCATAGTCCTTTGGTAGTGCTTTCTGACTATTGAGGTTGCAATCAAAGAACATGATGTTTGGGCACATCTGGCTTGAAAAAGTAATATTATCAGCTGCTGATGGGCTCTAATTTCTTGTTGGACTTCTATTGACAGCTGCTAATAGCAGCGACAACAGCTATAGTTTTAAAACTGAATTACTGAACAGTACTTGCTACCTAGAATATTTTGACAAAGGCATCAACTTACACATCAAACAACTGAGGATGAGGAAGCATCTTCAGTGTTACTTGTCTTCTTTTTCTCTAGAGACTCAGACATATAGAAAAAATGCTGGGGTACAAGTTTGCATTGTTTACTTTATCAACTAAAAATTCCATTCACTCATACATTTACATACCCATGCATATGTACCAAACTCAAAAATTCTAGTTTGTTATGGTAGTTTTAATTTTCAAAAGAATCAAGGAAGCATATCATACTGCGCACAAAACCTCATTGTCTACAATGGCCCTAAAGCAGGGATCCCCAACCTTTTTGACGCCGCGGCCCGGTACCGGCATCAGCTGGGTGCCGCGGCCTGGTACCGGCATCAACTGGGCGCCGCCATCTTTTTTTGACGAAAAAGTGCTTCCGGTGACCTCACCGGAAGCACTTTTTCGTCAAAAAAGATGGCGGCGCCAGCGCTTCCGGTGAGCTTTTTCGGGTAGAAATGGCTTTCTACCCGGAAAAGCTCGCCGGAAGCACTTTTTTACCAAAAAAAGATGGCGGCGCCCAGCAACCAGCGGCCTGGTAAGAGTTGTTCCGCGGACCGGTATCGGTCTGCGGACCGGCGGTTGGGGACCCCTGCCCTAAAGGACAGTATTTTTCATATATTATTACAACTTCCAACAAAGCTTGATTACTACATCAATGCTTGGATGATTCTATTGTGGCACTATCTTTCTCACATCTCCAGATATGTTTGATTGAACATCGTTGACTCATTCTCTTACATAGGAGTCAAGCCCGCAAGTAATGATTTTGTTTTCTTGGAACAAATGATTATTAGCCAGATTAATTCATATTAGCATTCATTTCCCCACAAATTTGTTGTGACAATGAATCATGTCCTTCATCAATGCAATGACACTGACAGAGTCCACTTATTAAGGAAAATGAAGAACAGTTGTTACCCCCTGTAAGAAAGACTAATTGAAAAGAGAGATGGCAAGGCAAGTATTACATGGCTAGTACTGCACTTATTAAAACTGGCAGGCAAAACAGATAAGATTTGTCAATGGCTAAGAACAGGAAAATTGAAGAAAGAGACAGAGGGGATAATTTTGTCTGAACACCACCAAGCCCTAAGAAAAAAAACATATAACCTCAGAATTGAGAAGATAGCAACAGACAGCACATACAAAGAAACTAAAGAAACATTGGACCACCTGGTTAGCTGCTGCAAGAAGATTACACAGACTGATTACAAACAATGGCATGACAAAGTAGTACCAATTGTACATGGAAATATCTGCAAGAATTACAATTTGCCTTTAAGCACAAAATAGACAAAGTAATAGAAAATGGGACTTTAGAAACAGACATGCTACTACTGAATAATACCCCAGACTTAACAACTGTTGGAAAAAAGATTTTTTTTAAAGTGTGGGTAGTAGATTTTACAGTACCAGCAGAAGAGAAAGAACTGGAGAAAATCACAAAATGCAAAGACCTGCAGTTCTAGAAGTAGAACAATGGTGGCAAAGTCCAGTTGCTTTTTGAAAAAGCACCTTTGAGACAACTATGACCTGGATGACTGAGAATCTTCACAGATAATGATGGGAAAAGAAAGCAAAGATAGTACCAATAATAATAGACAATGGGTGTGATCCCAAAACTTCTGGAGCATTATTTGAATGGTGTGGACATTGACAAAATCCCTATCAGTCATTTGCAAAAAGTAGATTAACCTGAAACAGATTAACATCACCAAACAACAACATCTGTCTCTCCCAGGTCCCTAGGAAAGTCTTAAGAGGAGGATAAAAATGCCACATCTAGTCTAAAACCTCTGGCTGACTATGCGATCAACAATATAATACCAAAGTTGTAATCATGGAAGCATCAAGTTGAAAGATGTCTTGCACAGTTTAATATTTAGTAGTTTTAGAGTGGAAAGAATGATTCATGCAAACTCAGTGAGCTCTGAACATTTTTTCAAGAAACAGAAATGTTATTTATTTTTAAGATGCATTAAGCTTATTTTGAATTTAAACCACAAATATTTTGTATTCCTTTTCTCTTAGTGGCAGGAAACCAAGTCATCAATTTTCAGCAACTGCTGGGGCAAACGCCAAAGCTCTTTCCAAGAATCAAAATTGAAGAAGCTTCCTGGATGAGAAGCGAAATGTTTTCAAGGAAAAATCCAAGTCCAGTTGCCCTTTAGAAAAACACCTTTGGGACAACCATGACCTGGATGACTGAGAATCTCCATAGGTATCTTCCCAATGAAACAGTTCATGGATCTTCCATGCTCTAGTCATCAAGTCTAATCCCCTTTTCTCATCCCAAAATATACTGAGCCATCTTCTTCCATGGAAGGCATGTCCATCAATCTTTCCAATTTGGGCTTTTATTCTCAAACTTTACTTACCAACAAAAATATATATATCAAAAAATACCCCAGTAGTGAACTGAGATAGATAGATATAATTTTTTATTGGCCAAGTGTGATTGGACACACAAGGAATTTGTCTTGGTGCAAATGTTTTAAGTTATAAGAGATTTAGATCCTATAACTTAAAACCATTGGCGCCAACTCTTGGGCCCATTTTTCATCTCACAAGCTAAAATCATTTTTATTATTATTAAATTTATTTGCTGCCATCTCTCAGTTCGAGGTGCTCTGAGCAGCTTACGGTAACCTTTGTTGGCCTATAAGCTCCAGTCTTTCTCATTGGGCAAGCATGAAAAAAGGGATAGGAAAAACCTCTATAGTTGCCTAAATTAATATCCCACCCTGTCTTTTCCTGCTTTTTTGGTCTCCAGTTGTTTTGCAGTAGAGATTTTATAATTTAAAAGCCAGGCTGATTCCAAAATACAGGAATTGTTGGACTCCATCCGGCAGGCACCAAATTGGAGAAGGCTATTCTTGTTAAGAGACTGCCGGATGTACAATTCACAAATTATGAATTATGGACTTTCGTGATTTTTCTTCCAAATGCCTACTGATAGAAATAATAAACAAATTACAATTCACATGGCAACTGAGATACAAATTAAATGTTTCAAAAACAGGAGGTGTTTGACTACCATTCTGGCTTAAAATCAGAAGCTGTAAAGAGGAATGATTTGCACAAATCTAATCATTTTGTCAAAAGTTCAGTCTGACCCAGGTTTTGATTTAATTGGGAGGAAAACAACAACCTAGTGTTCATTCCTTTTAAACAATACAGATGATGTAACAACAACTGGCATGAGAATTAATCATTTTATTTATGTGATACAAAAAAATTAACAGAACAACAGAGTTGGAAAGAACCTTGGAGGTCTTCTAATCCAACCCTTGCTCAAACAGGAGACCTTATACCCCGTGATGGTGAACCTATAGCACGTATGCCGGAAGCGGCATGTACAGCCATCTCTGCTGTCACAAAAGCCGTTGCCCCAGATCAGGTCCACTGTGCATGTGCATGCACTTCCCGCCAGCCAGCTGACCATTGGGTATCTGCTGCATATGTATGGGGGGCGGGGCACGCGCAGGAGACTTGTGCACATGCACAGAGGCATGAGGCTCATAGGGGAATTGCGTGCGCGTGGGGTGGGGGGATCACGTGTGTATTGCATTATGGGTGCAGACACACCTGTGTGCACGCCAGTGGTGGGGTTCAAATGTTTTAATACCGATTCTGTGGGCATGGCTTGATGGGCGTGGCATGGCTTGGTGGGCATGGTTTGGTGGGTGTGGCAGGGGAAGGTTACTGCAAAATCCCATTCTCACCCCACCACACTAACCTGCTTTCCAGCTCCATTCTCCTGTGCAGGGCAACAAAAGAAGACCCAGCCAATCAGCTGGGACTTGGGAGGCAGAGAATAGATGGGGGTGGGGCCAGTCAGGGGTGGAATTTGCCATTGTCCAAACTACACAAAATTTCCACTACTGGTTCTCTAGAACTGGTCAGAACCTGCAGAATACCACCTCTGGTGCACGCACACACTTTTGGCATGCGATGATGAAAAGGTTAGCCATCACTGGCCTATACCATTTCAAACTATTCCACTAATAATTGTTCTAACTGTCAGAAAATTTCTCCTTATTTCTAGATTGCTTCTCTCCTTGATTAGTTCCCATCCATTGCTCTTTGTTCTGCTTTCAGGTGCTTTGGAGAATAGCTTGACTCCCATCTTCTTTGTGGCAGCCCCTTAGACATTGGAACACTGCTATCTATAGATTCTAAGGGAGAAAGACCAGAAAAATAACGGAAGTTGATTTCTATGAACTAATAGAAGAGAATTTTCAAGATGGGAATGATTTTTTGGATTGTGTCTTCCTGCTCTATTGTTAAAGATATAAAGCCTACTTAA